TTGTTGCTATTTTTTTTGTATATTTTCATGTATTTGCCAAACCAAAATTTTCATGTACATAGGCTTTTTTTGTTTTGTTTTGAATTTATTTTTTTATTGTGATTTGGGTGAAAGTTTACAGTGCAAATTCACTTTCCACACAGCAGTTCACATACACTTTGTCTCGTGACATTGACTACAATTTACCCCAATGCAATAGCTCTCCTCCCACTTCCTCCCGATAGTTACCTCTTCCCTGTCCATCCCTCCATGCACTGCTGCCCCCTGAGCTGTCTCCCTGTGCATACACAGCCCTTCTTTCTCCCATGATTGTTTTCTCCAAGCAGTGTATCTACCTCAGGTACATGTTCAACTCATATGCCTGTCTTTTGTTTGGCTGGAAGCCACAGTGTATATAGGCTTTTGCAAAGTCATTTTAATATAAGCTTTGCATACTGCTTTTATCTCTTGTGTTAAGCAAACATTCATCAAGTGGCCACTAGTGTTGGCCTTCAGGTAAATCATAGCAAAATAGAGTGCTAACCATGCTCATAGAGGAGTGAGTGTGGTACAGAGGTGGACAGACAAGGCTGTGGACAGCTCTGGAGTTGGGGGTGTTTGGGGAAGTCTTCACAGAGGAGGCAGCATGAGCTGAACCTTGGAGGAGGATTATGGGCTCACAGAGGAGCAGTCACAGGTGGGAAGGGCACCCCAGGGAGCAAAAACAGTAATGTAATGATTGGAGGTTGGGATCTGAGGCAGAGGTGGGCTGTGGATGGCTTGCCTGTCATTCCTAGGGGTTTGCGCTTTGCTCTGTAGATGTTGAAGATCCACTGAAGGGTTCTTAGTAAAGAGGAACATCAGATTTGCATTTTAGAAAGAATGCTTGGTTTATATACTTTCCCTCAGTGTGCTGAGTGACTTGAAAGAGAGCAAGGCATGTCAGGGGGACCAGCCAGGAGAATATTGGAGTCATCCAGGTGGGAGATGATGAGGCATGAGCCAGTGCAGTAGCAATGAGAAAGAAGTGAAAAAGAGTAGATGGATTTCAAAAATATTTAAGAGGTAGAAAGGATAGGAGTTGGTGCCTGACTTGGTGCCTTCCCATGTGATTTGCTTTGGCCCATGAGATGTTAAGAGGTGTGACTTAACTAGAATCTTGAAAAGCACTTCTGTAGTTGCGTTGACTTGTTCTGGTGCCTCTACCACTGCTATGAGAGGAACATGCTAGGGCTAGTCCACTGGGCCCAGGAGGAGGATGAAAGATTGGTGGAGTCCTCAGATGACCTGCAGTCTCATGATCATGGCCAGCCAAGCTCTACCAACCCCCAGCCAACTTGCAGACACATGAGCTATAATAAAAAAATGATAACTGATTTAAGCTATCATTAAGAGTTTTGGGGATGATTTTTTATATAGCAAATAACTAATGGATTAAGAAATGTCTTCATGTTTGTACGGAATGCTTACTGTGTACTGGGCATGATTCTGGGCACTGCAATGCAGTCCTGAACCAGATAAAAATCATTACTCTTGAGGAGTTTGCATTACATACGGATATGGTAGAGGAAGCTATGTTGACTCCAGTGCTTCTGGCTTCTGAGTGCATGGTGGTGCCATTAGCCAGGATGGGATCATGAGAGGAAAACAGATAATAAATTTGATTTTGGAAAGGTATTTAAGGAGCTCTGGTAGCATAGTGCCTGAGGCACTTGACTGCTAACCAGAAGGCTGGTGGTTCAAACCCACCAGCCACTCCTGGGAAAGAAGGTTGGGCAATCTACTTCTGTAGTGATATTGCCTTGGAAACCCAAGGAGGGGTTGCTATGAGTCGGGTCCAACTCAATGGCACATAACAACAACAACAACATGGGACATTTAGTTGGAGGTGTCCTAGAGGTGGAAAGCTATTAACATAACAGAAAATACTCTACCAGAGGGAGAAAGTAAGTACTGTGGAAATGCAGAGTAGGGAGAGAGGACTTGTGACTGAGGAGATGAGAAGGTCACCTATAAACTGGGCTTATACTTGTGGAGTGAGTGGAGAAGGCCATACCAAATGGAATGGATCAGTAAGGCATGGAGGTCAGATAGGGAGAGCTGGACAGTGAGAATAAGGGAGATAAAGTTGAAAAGGTAAATTGAGGTGACATCATAAAGAGTCTTAAATATCGGTCCAAGAATGTTGTAAATTTTCATTAGGAAATGGGGAACGATTTAAATGTTTTTGAGCTGGGGAATGACATTAGACACACGTCTGTGAGATGGGGAGTGATGTGCAGTAGGATGAGCACTGAAGTAGAAATAAAGAATTTGAGGTCTTGGCTCAGCTCTGCCATTTACTGGCTCTGGAATTTAGGACAACTGACCTCCCTCTCTGAGCCCCTTCTCCTTACCTAAAAACTGGGAGTAACACTATCTGCCCACAGGAGTCTTACTTTTGTTAGAACCAATGACAAAATGCAAATGAAAGTGCTTCAAAGACCACAAAGCAATGCACGTGGGTGGGTATTATTGTGGCTAGGCCTGCTTTAGCTGAAAGATGAGACCAGGACTCCCAGACAGGCAGGTGGACTGCATGTATCACTTTGTTGACCTCTGTTCCCTCTTACTTCTTGGAGAGAGCCCTGACTGAGATGTCAGGCCTGGTGGCACCGGCAGCTGGCAGAGCTGGGACTCATCGTCTCATGGCCTGCGTTCCAAGTTCTTGATGTAGCCCTGAACTCCCCCACTTGACCCTCCACGAAAACAACATGTGACATTTAAGGACTGCCTGCATAGTAGAGCCTATGCCAAAACTGCAAAACAGAGGACTGTAAAACTGTCCCTGTCCCACCGGGAGTTCACAAACTAGGTCAAGAGGGCATGCACCTCAAAATAGTCAATAGCATGGCATTTGGTAGAGGGCCCAGTGAGTTGTCCAGACAGTCACTGGAGGAGAGCTAGGAGAAAGCAGAGCCTGTGGGTTGGGCCGGTCTTCAGGGAAGCAGCATGGAAGCTGAACCTTGAAGATTGGGTGGAGTTTAAAAGAGAGGAGGGAGAAGGGAATAAGTAGAGGGGGAAATTTCTGTTGCTCCGATAATATCCCCACAATATTTTGACTAAGCACAAAAACTCCATTTAACCTAGCAGTTAAAGACAAATGTAGTAGGTTGCTTAGAAAGATCTCAGAAACTTGAGAGAAATGGGGTTGAGAAGAAGTGGGGGAAGAGGTGGAGTCCACAGTCGATGGGTTGAGTTGTTATTGGTTGTTATCGAGGAATCGGTTGTTATTGGTTGCTGTCAAGTGGATTCCAACTCATGGCAACCCCAAGTATGTAGAGTAGAAAAGTTCTGTAGCATCTGCAAGACCTTTTGGAAACAGATCACAAGGCCTTACTTCTTTATTTCTTTTTTTGAAATTTTTATTGGGATTTGGGTGAAAGTTTACAGAGCAAATTCATTTACCATACAGCAGCTCACATACACTTTGTCTCATGACATTGACCACAATTTCCCACAATGCAACAGCTCTCCTCCCAGTTCCTCCCCATAGTTACCTGTTTCCTATGTCCTTCCCTCCCATGCACTCCTGCCCCACAAGCTGTCTCCCTGTGCATACACAGCCCTTCTGTTCTCCCATGATTGATCTCTCCAGGGAGTGTAACTAGCTATATAAATGTTCAGCTCAATGCCCATCTTTTGTTTGCTTGGAAGCCACAGGAGTGGGTTCAGTTCAAGGCCTGAAGGGCAGCTAGGGGCTATAGTCTCAGGGGTTCCACCAGACTCTATCAGAACAGCAAACCTGGTCCCCCACCCCCCCCTTTTTTTTTTAATGATTTTGAGTTTTGTTCCATTGTTCTCCCACTCTATCCAGGATCTCCTACATAGATCCCCCACCAAGTGGTGGACAGTGGTAGCCAGGTACCATCTAGTTCTTCTGGTCTCATAGTCCAATAGGCTGAGGATCGCATGGTGTACTGGTCGCTTGGACTAATTGTTTCCATGTGTCTTTGGTTTTCTTCATTCTTCTTTGCTCTGGATGAGGAGAGACCCATTGTTGCATCTATATAGCCACTTGTCAGCTTTTAAGCTCCCAATCACTATTCCACAAGGCCTTACTTCTGATATGCCTCTGGGCGAGTTTGAAATGCTAACCTGTAAGTTAGTAGTGAGTTAGTAGTCCAGCACTTAACCAATGTGCCACCCTGGAACTCCTAACAAAACCCAATGCAATGCCATCGAGTCGGATCCGACTCACAGTGATCCTTCCTTGGGTTTCTGAGGTGGTATCACTATGGAAGTAGATTGCCCAACCTTCCTTCTGAGGAGTGGCTTTGAGTTAGTGGGTTTGAACCACTAGCCTTCTGCTTAGCAGTCAGATGCCTTAAGCACTACCCCAAAATGTGCCAACTCTTCAACTGAGTATGTTGTTGTTGTTGTTGTTATGTGCCGTCGAGTCGGCCCCGACTCATAGCGACCCCTCCTTGGGTTTCCGAGGCAGTTATCACTACGGAAGTAGGATTGCCCAACCTTCCTTCCGAGACTGAGTATAGATAATCTAAAAAAGAAAAATTTCTTATAGGGCGTGTAGCCAAGTAGCATTTGAGTAGAGTTGCTCAGAGTTGTTTTCTTCCTTTTATTTTTCATGCCCACATGGCCAGGGTAAAAAAGCCCAAACTCACTGCCAGTCAAGTCGGTCCCGACTCATAGCGACCCCTCCTTGGGTTTCCGAGGAAATATCCCTACTGAGGTAGATTGCCCAACTTTCCTTCCCAGGAGTGGCTGGTGGGTTTGAACCTCCAGCCTTCTGGTTAGCAGTCAGATGCCTTAGGCACTGTGCCACCAGAGTTCCCATATAAATACATATATATATATATGTTTGGAAACACGAGAGGAAGGATAAAAGTAGAGAGGCAGGTTTGAAATCCTCTCCATGCAAATGGAAACTTGGACTGGGCAGTGGGAGGGTACAAGTAAGGTTGCTCTCCAGCCCTGACCTGTCTCCTTTGTGTCCCCAGTAGCTGGCCCCAGTAGGCGCCATGGCTTCTGCAGAGCCCCTGACGGCACTGTCGCGCTGGTACCTGTATGCCATCCATGGCTACTTCTGCGAGGTGATGTTCACGGCAGCCTGGGAGTTCGTGGTGAACTTTAACTGGAAGTTCCCGGGGGTTACCAGTGTGTGGGCCCTCTTCATCTATGGCACCTCCATCCTCATCGTGGAACGCATGTATCTGCGCCTGCGGGGCCGCTGCCCCCTGCTGGTGCGCTGCCTCATCTACACGTTCTGGACCTACCTGTGGGAGTTCACCACCGGCTTCATCCTGCGCCAGTTCAACGCCTGCCCCTGGGACTACTCCCAGTTCGACTTTGACTTCATGGGCCTCATCACCCTGGAGTACGCTGTGCCCTGGTTTTGTGGGGCCCTCATCGTGGAGCAGTTCATCATCCGCAACACCCTCCGCCTGCGCTTTGACAAGGACGCCGAGCCTGGGGAGCCTGGTGGCCCCGTCGCCCTGGCCAATGGCCACGTCAAGACTGACTGACTGACTTGGGGGCTGGTGGGTGGGGCCCGGGGGTTTCTCATAGAGCCTGTGGATGAAGACCAAGGAAGTGGGGTTGGTCCCTTCTGTGCAGCACAAGCCCCACCCCGTCTGTCATGTGGGGCACACACAGCCTCAATACCCGTCTCTGTGGCCTGGGGTCTGTGGGAAGGGGCCTGTTCAAGTGTCTTTGTCGGGGTGGGGATGTGGAGGCGACAGAAGGACATTGGGAAGGGTCCGTGGATTATGGGCCAGCTCAGAGGATGGCAGTGGGACACATGTGGCTGGGCAGCGATTGGACTACATAGATGACTGTGAAAGCGTCAGGCCCTGTCCTGGCTAAGGGACTTTGAGAAGGGGGCAGAAGGTGGGAGGCAAGGCCTGGAGAGACTTTGGGCTGTTGCTGTTGCTGTGGTTGCCTCTCTCCTCTCACGTGGGTCTAGTTGGGCTTTGGCTGGCTCCATTAGGCAATATTCAGGTGCTTGCTTGCAACCAATACCTCCCTGGGGGCCTGCTGTGCTGCAGCCTAAGGAGAGACTGGGCAGTCACGAGGCTGCTTGGCAGCAGGGCTGGTCTGCAAGGGCTAGGAGGCCTTCCCTTGGCTCCTCTCCCCTCCCCCAGAGCTCCACGCTGCTCCCTTGGCCTTCTGGGGGGCCCCCTGGTGCTGGATTCCCACCAACCTTGGGCTTTTGGAAGTTTCAATCCCTGTGTGTTCGGTGGTGTTTCCCCCCCTTTCTCTCTTATTTTCAAGGCCTTTACCACTAAGCAGCCCTTTTATCCTTGTCAATCAACCTACTTGCCCCTGCTCCCGTCCCCAAATGCCTAGCCAACACAGCAGCTGCCAGAGGTAGGACCCTGAGACAGACCCCACCCTGCCCTCTTGTAGCCTTCACTGTTCTTGCTGGCCCGACAATGGGAGCCCCCGCACCACTCCTCCCACCCCGTCTGGTGGTGGGCTGTGGCAACATCCCTGGTGCTCTTCTCCATGCCCCCTCTCCGTAGTCACCCCATTGCAAACCAGTTATACCCCAAGATAGGCCCTGTGGATTCCCAGCAAGGGCCTAGATACAAATCAGGTCAGTGGGAGTAAAGACAGTGTATTCCAGCTTATCTACACCCAGATTACTTTTCAAGCCAATTGGGCAATCTACTTCCTAGGCAATGGAGGAGCCCATATCCAGTGTTGGGGACCCGTGGAGGTGAGTGAGGCCTTTGGATGCAGAAGGTTCCTTGGGATATCCTGAGTGGAAAGGGATCAGTTCTAGTTCTGCCAGAGCCCCAGTCTTGTAGCAAAACCTTCTCAGGGCTGCCCCCTCTCTCCTAGCCCTGCTCAGCAAGACCAACCCTTTGAGCTTACTCCTTTAACAGTATTATCCCTCCTACACTTGCAGGCATTGTCATCTTGGTGGCTTTCTACCTTTCCCCTGTGACAGGTCCATTGCTGGCAGTGGACAGGTGAAATCCTCCCTCCAGCTTCCAGCTCTGCCCCCAACCCCTTGAGAGGAGGGCTTGACCAGAATGCAGCCCATTGCATGGTACAGGATCTCTTCCTGACCACACCAGAACTCTTCAGTAGAAATTAGCACCCCCCTTTTTATAGAACACTAAAAAGTGGTAATACCACCTGTGGAGAGAACCTCCTCTTCCTTGCCAAGCTCCTCCTAGACTGAGCAGACATGGTGCAGGCCAGGGCGGGTAGGGTGGGAGCAAGAATGGTTCCTGGGTCCAGAAAAAGGGCCTTTGGCAGGATTGCTTTCTGTAGCAGGCCCTGTCCAGGGCAGGATGGAGGGCATTCTCAGCCTCTGTTTACTGAGCAGGCTCCTTAAATCCAGGGATTAACTGTATTCTGCAGGGGCCAGTCTGCCTCTGATTTTATTGTTGCCCCACATCCAGGGATTTGGGGGTTACGGGGAACCAGGCTTCCAGTGGGAGTGATTGCTCCCATCTTTAGGTGGAGAGAATTTCAGAGTGAGAGTATTGCCTGGCTTCTCTGTTCCCTCTGGGCAGTTGTTTCCTAGTTTCCTCCCTTCGTTCCTGTCTCAGTCTCCTGGACACTAATACCCCTCCAGGCCCCCCATGTAAACCCCTAGATCGTACCACCCACCTTTGTTCTCCCCTCCCACAATTGGATCTGGTGATGACCGGCTGGTTGGTGTTGCCCAGCTTAAGGCCTTGCTAATTCTCAGCCACAACAAACCCTTGGTGGCCCACTGGGTCTTGCCACTCCAGATGCTGCTGGTGGGCCTTCCCGGGCACCATCTTCTCTCTGGGCCCTATAAACTTCCAAGCACAGGAGGTCCTGGAGTAAACCTGCCTGCCTGGAAACACAGCATTGTGTTTCTGCTTCATCTAGGTGCCTGTTGCTCCCGTTGCCCCTTAAGGGCACAGAGCCCCCAGCACCCTATGGCCTGACCAAGGCATCTGCAGGTTCAGATCTCACTGAGTAGCCCAGACTTCAGTTCTTATTTATTTTGTCCATATCTGCAGGGCCCCAATCCCTCAGTACCCAGGGACTCAAAGTTTGGAGGCATCCAGCCCTGCCAAAGCAGTGAAGAGTCTAGTGGGGGTCTGGTTGCTGTTAATGAACCTCTGGTGTCCTGGGCCTCTCTCCACTGGATGCAACCACATCTCTGAGTCAGAGAGCAATGTGCTGCCCTGCATGGTTGAACTGCTTTTGATTGATGCCTGCATCCCATCTCCTGTGTCCCCTCTTCAATGCCACTGAGTCACAATGGCCTTGCTTATTCACAGCAATAATACCTAGGGAGTGCCCTTTTGTCCTGGTCTCTCGCTCTGCTTGGGTCTCCTGGGGAGGCAGCTACTGAGTGGGTCAGTTCAGGAGAACGTCTATGAAACACTGGGTTTTGTGGACACATGGTTAGGGGATGCAGAGAAGAGAGAGGCCCTAGCCCTTGAGGGACTAATGGCTAAAGCAGGGAGAGTGTTTCCACCCTGAGGCCAGCCCAGATCTGGAGTAGCTACAGGCCCCAACTCTATAAAAGGGCCTTTGAAGTGGGTGGAACTGTTTTCCAATTGTGGGCAGCTTTTCAGAAGGACACGTGACTGGTTTGTGTACCCATTGCCTGCTCTGTGTCTCTGTTGGTCTCTCTGTCTCTTTTCCACATCCGTGCACATGAAATATACTGGTATTTGTGTTCCAGGACTGACTCTGACCCATCTGTTTCTCCTACATTGGAGTCCCTTTCTTGGGGGCTGATAGAGGCCAGGCCCTTTCAACTTGGCATCATGCAGTCCTGAGCCAAGATGGCTGCCAGCTGAGAGGCACTCCCTGGCAGTCCTTTTCAGCATCTCTGCTCTGACCTTTTCTGGTAACCTGACTCCCTACTGTGTAACATAATCTGATCCAGGCTTACCTCAGTCCCAGGCTGTGCTGCAGATGAGCAGCCCCCCCAATGAGATGAGCTCCTCACAAGTACCCTCACCCTGACCAGATGTCTCATGGGCTGGGAGGGCCTGAGGCAGGAGCCTGAAGTTACCCCAAAGACCTAGAAGGCTGAGCCCCTCACTCCATTAATTGAAAGTCACATTTTGGAGAACAGTGAGCTCTGCAGTCCTTCCTATCAGCTCTGCTTCCCCTGAGAATTGCTTGTGGAGGGAGTACTCCCTCCCTACTTTGCATACCTCTGTTCTATCTAGTGTCTGCTGTCTTTCCCTCCCCAGTGGGGTCCTGCCCCACTTTCACCCTTACAGGAAGAGGATGGGTAGTTCAAAAGTTCTGGTCAGTTTAGCTGTACCTAAATGGACCATAGTTAGGTTACAGAGCACCTTTGTTTTCCAGATGGAGCAGGCAGTGTGATTTTTGAGTCATTGGGAAGGCTCTCTGCCTTTCCACTAAGTTATTCATTTCTTTGAAAGCTTTTTCCCCATATAAAAACGAGCTAACATAAAGCCCTGATAGTTGTTTACATGTTAGTATAAACAAATGTATCGGATTGTCTCCTGAAAGCAAATTTTTATGAAAGGAAAGCGGCAAGTATAATGAAAGAATCTATGTTATGGAGCTCCAGAGAAGAGGCAAGAGGCAGGGCCCAGAGAGAAAACACCTGTATTAACTGACTGGCTCTTCCTCTACTCAGTGAATTCTCTTTCTTTCTTTCTTTTTTTTTTTACTTTTATTGTGAAAATATACACAAGACTGAATTCCCACTTTCTTGCTTTTCCTTTCTCGCCTCTCCTGCCACCTTCACCTAATCCTAAGGGACTTGACCAGACTGCATTGAGAGAACTGTCCCAGGAGAGTTATTACTAAGGCTCTTGGCTACATCTTCTAAAATCTGCCTGGCTGTTTCTAAATTAATACTAATGCTTAATTAATGGTGAACAAATGACCATGACCTTGCCTCGTCTTCATGGGGTATCTGTCTCAGAAGGGTGCATTGTCCACATTGCCCTCTGGTGCAAGCCGGGAAGAGGTAGATTGCCTGTGTTTGATGGGCAAGGAAAGAGGTACAAGAAAGGCTGTGACTGACTGATCGTGCTGCGATTGCTTCAGTTTAAAGGTACCTGGGTCTTAATAATTTTAACAGCAGCTCCCATTCTACCACTGCTGGTTAGCACCACTGCTGGTAGGCACTGTACTGGGTGCTTTCTGTGTGTCGTCTCATCTCCCATTTGAGAAGGGCACTGTTATTCCCGTGGGGTCCTTGAGTGGCACTAATGGTTAAGTGCGCAACTGCTAGCCAAATGGTTGGCAGTTCAAATCCGCCTGGAGGTGCCTCAGAAGACACGTCTGGTGTTCTGCTTCTCAAAGATGACAGCCTTGCAAGCCCTCTGGAGCATTTCTTCTCTGTATGTATGGAGTCACCATGAGTTGGAATTGACTCAACAGCAACTAAAAATAACCACCATTATTTCCCTGTTTTACATAAAAGGTCTGTTGGCAACCAATCTGGAACCCCAGATTTACCACAAAAATTATAAGCAGAGGATTCTTTAGGGAGGGATTTGTGATAGATCACATACCCCTTTGTAATTTACTGAAT